TCTGTTTCTTCTCCTTTGAAGGCGTCTTGTTTACCAGTTGTGCCCATATGATTGATTTACAAAGCTATATCTCACCTTTACGGTCCCTCTGACACCTGTAAACACTGGTGAAACTAGTACCTATCACGATTTTTATAGAGATCATGACTTTAATAAGACCAAAGTTTTTAATTTCATTTAACTTGTAATTCGATGTTCAAGTAAAATCCCATATCAAAATAGTAATGGCATGCTGTTTTTTTAAACAAATATCACAAGTGATAATAATTATTTACCTATATTGCATTTAATAAAGATTACAGATGAAGGTTTTAATAAACAATTGTAAAGTGAATCCGAACTCTAGGTCCATTCAGATATTTAACATCAACCATATATTTAACAAAAATGAAGACGATATATATGTGGTGTCTACCATTGATATAAATATCCAAATGTAAATACATATAAGATATAAATACATAAAAAATATAAATACATATAATATATAAATACATATAAGATATAAATACATATAAGACATAAATACATATAAGACATAAATATATATAAGACATAAATACATTTAAGACATAAATACATACAAAATATAAATACATATAAGACAAATACATATAAGACATAAATACATACAAAATATAATACATATAAGACATAAATACATTTAAGACATAAATACATATAAGACATAAATACATATAAGACATAAATACATATAAGACATAAATACATTTAAGACATAAATACATACAAAATATAATACATATAAGACATAAATACATATAAGACATAAATACATTTAAGACATAAATACATACAAAATATAATACATATAAGACATAAATACATTTAAGACATAAATACATATAAGACATAAATACATACAAAATATAAATACATATAAGACATAAATACATACAAAATATAAATACATATAAGACATAAATATAAGACATAAATACATATAAGACATAAATACATATAAGACATAAATACATATAAGACATAAATACATATAAGACATAAATACATACAAATATAAATACATATAAGACATAAATACATACAAAATATAAATACATATAAGACATAAATATAAGACATAAATACATATAAGACATAAATACATATAAGACATAAATACATACAAAATATAAATACATATAACACATAAATATAAGACATAAATACATATAAGACATAAATACATATATATACATATAAGACATCATGAACTACGGATAAAGGTACTATTTATCTCCTCACGTATTCTGAACAAGCTTCAACAACACGTTCGTTACGGGTATATGAAGCTATGTTTTAACATTATTACGCTGTTCTACCTGCCAGTTTAGATTTCGACTTTTTTTCGATCACTTTGGGTATTTCTCAGCCGGTTCCTTGGTCTCAATATTTGTTCTCGTTGCATTACAAATGAGAAGGACAACATAGCGGTAAGAAACAGTATCTTTCATTATCTGACTCTGCTGTATTTAATTCTTGGGTATTGTTTGTGATTTATTACTTTTATAAGGATTTAAATGGTTCAAATAAACACTTTGAAATATATTCGGTAATTGGACACAAGGAATTTAACACGTATATCTGTGGATTTCTGCCAGAAATGTCCTGTTTTATGCAGTATTTACTTCCTAGTGTAGTACGCACGAGATCAAATCTGAAACCATGGATTGGTCATAGTTACCGAGAATAATTAATATAAGGAATCATAGGTTTCAAATTTTAGGCCATTAGCATCACTGACGAGTCGTAGTAGGACGAAACAGCTGTATAATTCAGCATCACTGACGAGTCGTAGTATAACGAAACAGCTGTATAATTCAGCATCACTTACGAGTCGTAGTAGGACGAAACAGTTGTATAATGTATCATCACTGACGAGACGTAGTAGGACGAAACAGCGGTATAATTCAGCATCACTGACGAGACGTAGTAGGACGAAACAGCGGTATAATTCAGCATCACTGACGAGTCGTAGTAGGACGAAACAGCTGTATAATTCAGCATCACTTACGAGTCGTAGTAGGTCGAAACAGCTGTATAATGTATCATCACTGACGAGACGTAGTAGGACGAAACAGCTTTATAATTCAGCATCACTGACGAGTCGTAGTAGGACGAAACAGCTGTATAATTCAGCATCACTGACGAGTCCTAGAAGGACGAAACAGCTGTATAATGTATCATCACTGACGAATCCTAGAAGGACGAAACAGATGTATGATTTTGCATCACTGACGAGCCGTAGTAGGACGATACAGCTGTATGATGTAGCATCACTGACGAGTCGTAGTAGGACGAAACAGCTGTATAATTCAGCATCACTGACGAGTCGTAGTAGGACGAAACAGCTGTATAATTCAGCATCACTGACGAGTCGTAGTAGGACGAAACAGCTGTATAATTCAGCATCACTGACGAGTCCTAGAAGGACAAAACAGATGTATGATGTATCATCACTGACGAATCCCAGAAGGACGAAACAGATGTATGATGTAGATTTATTCATTGTTTGACTCTACTCTATCCAACTCTAAAACATTGAAATGTGCTATTCATTTGTGTGTCAGATTCTCCAAGAGAAAGTGTCAACCAATACTCTTAAAAGTACAGTTATACTCGTGCACTCTAGTCCACAGTATATGACCTCACCAGTACTAGTAGCCCGCCATTATCCCCCACATAGGTCTAAATATATCTCCATCTCTAACTTATCGCGGGTTTAAATTACATGTTGATTCCTATCGATACGTAATGGGACACATGCTCCTTGTGATTGTTTGATGACGTCACTGAGCTGACATTCCAGTCATAGCAGCAAATGCCTGTTTTGGAGATTTATAGTTTCATGTTACGGTGACAAAGAAAGTTGTAGAAGTGAGAGAGTATGAGTAGGTACGTGTAAGGAGTGTCTAGCTGTAATTATCTCTAGTGTTGCCCACCTACAACTAGTATACATGGAATACCTTGTTACTTATAGACTAGAAGGCATCATATATAAGATGTAAGATATCATTATTAAATAACAAGTTATCACCAATATATTCATAATCATATGTATCATGTCAATTATCATCTCGTTGCAAGAAAACGAAGTGAAATGAAAATGTCTGGTTCTGATAAGGTCTAATTACGACAAAAGTCACCCATTAACTCCAGCTGGTGAGGTGTAGAAATGAATATTACAACATTACTTTAAAAACTCGTGAATTCAAAGTAGTTGACGATTACGTGGGATGCCAGTTTATTTAGGTAGTACTTATCCACAATCAACTTGTTACAGATATTTAATTATAATATCAAGTTATCATGACAATACTGATATGTAAACTTGACATAGTCGGCAAGATACCCAAAAAGTCAATAACGTGTTGAATAGTTGATAATTATATCTAAAGATGACGATCATTTCAAATGAAACAACAATTATAAAAAGCATTGAATTATGACCAATTTCGATTTCCTCAGTCACCTCCAAGGTTTCATACATCACTGACGATGACAAAGCTTCAAACATTCGATACAGTTTGACAACACTATGAATAATTATGTATAATTTTGTATAGAGCTGCACTATCCTCATGTACTTTAGTATGTGTTTTGTACAGTCCTTATTGAGGAATAGGTGAAGAGACGACTTGGCCTGGCCAGGAAGACAATAAACAGCTTCCTCTATAAAATTATTTTGCTATGCATATACTTTTAAAAAACCCTTTGATCACGATTTTGATTATAAAGTGCCGTTTGTAACCAGATTTTGATTAGAGTTCCACTTGCATGTTGGGACTGATTAAAACTCAATTGATGGCTTAACTTTCTGTGTTATTGAGTAGATCCCAGTGACAAACACATACCCTATTGGTGATTCAGACCAGCCAGACCGCTCTACCACATAAACACATCTCTCATAGGTTGAAATAATCTTAATTGTCCTTTTCAAATATATTTCGAATATGTTGCAGTACGTTGGTATAAACCGAGACGAAAACAAACACCGGATTGTGTGTGGAGACCTGACATTTCTGCCACATACCATAACGACCTGCCTAACGCGATTGAGAAATTCTTTTTTAATAAACACCATTGTTCTCAATCGATAACATGCAAATCAATAAAATCAATATCTGATCAGACTGAAGTATCGAATGATATAGAATGAAAGTCACAAATTAGTCGCGTGCAAATGCTCCATCTTGGGAACTAATAAAATCATTGGTTTGCGTTTTAAATTGTGAATGAATAATTGTGGATTTTTTTCGTCAGTTGCGCTCGAATGAACACGACGCCCTAAAGGCATTTAAAAGTATACCAACATATTGTAAGTTCACTACGGGTACATAGAGGTGAAAGGTAGAAAAAAACATACCAGCCAATCAACGTGCCGTATTAACATGATATTGATAGCGTGTAGGTTATTTCATTAGATATATATACCTGTACATATATAACAGTGTAATATTACATAAATATCAATTATCAAAGAACAAAGATATAAACAGGATATTCATATAAACGTCGACATAAAACATGTACATAAATTCCTGGAAACATGCCACAATTGTAATGTTCAGAATATTCGCCTAAAAATTAATGCTCTCACACATACCTATGTGTTTATATATTTACTAAACTCCCATTAAGATAAAGATATTACAGGTTGGTATTTACCGAAAATAAATGGTCATCTTCACGAAGATGATACATGAAACATTTGAGATTTGAATATTTATTAACCAAAAGCCATTAAGACTGAAATATTACAAGTGGTCATGTAAGATATATGTCAATGTTCACAAACTGATGTTCAGATATCATATTTACTTTTACAAATATAAAATTGAGGGTATATAATCAGTAATGTTCAGTGTACCACATTATGTTGTGTAATTCACTTTTTACAAGAAAGAATAAGGAGGTAGATATAACTAGTGTTTTGTGTGCCATTATCTTTATTGTTTAACGATAGTTATATTTTACAGGAAAAAGACACTCTCAACCCTATCCAGTATGCCACATATAAATTCAGCCGCAAGTGTGACATATCAGAAACACATCACATGTATGTCATCGATAAATCGTCATTAGAATCGCTCCCTCCACCACATGTGCCACATACCAAGAAAAGCGAGATCTTCGATCTGTTGATGTACAAACATATCGACGAACGAGCACTGAAGGTACGTCATATGATGTGATAAAAACTAATGTGTAGGCATCAATGTTTGATGCTTGTTCGTATGACTAGTGGTTCCATAGCTATTAATATTACTCTCATATAGAGAATAGAAGACGCATACCATTCCAGAACACCTGGGCCTATTCTATTTGTATGTTTAAGGAATATCCATATGAATCTTTCTTTGTTCATATTTTGCCATAGTTTCATCCAATTTGAGTTTGAACTCAGATTCTGTTGACATGTCGGCATTTTTTGTTGTTGTTTTCAATATTTTATGTATGTTCCAATAAGAATGATAAAAATAATTGAATACTACTCATGAACGGATCGGAAGTGAACTACGATTTAGCAAGGTATTAAACAAATAAGGTCTGGAAGACAGTTTCAAATGATCTTAAGAAGATATTAAAGTTAGAAATGAATCTGTCATTATTTCTCCTCTTCGTCCCCGCTAATGACACATTTTTAAATGTTCTTTCGTTTGTTAAATTTGCTATCCGTATGAATCATATATATATATATATGTTAATGTGTCTGAAGTTTTGTTCACTTGCAATGTTTTTATTCAAAGTATGTATTTGAAATTAATTGAAAAAAAACTGTTGTTGATTTCCTGTAGGTCTCTAGTGACCTTCAGAAAGGTTCCATGGCCAACCTTGTAACCTACCTTGTAGAGCCATGCACAGACGATCTCGGCAGAATCAGGTCAATTTACACCTGGCTGACGTCACAAAACCTGAACCAGATTAAGATGCCTCTGCCGCCCATCAGGGAAGGAAGTGTTCCATATTATCTGAGCCGGCTGAAGAACAAGAAAGGCAATTATGCACAGCTTCTCAGTCTTATGTGCAGGTACAGAATGGATTGATGGTCTCAAACAACATGCTTCCCAAAAATTATTCACGGAGTAATGATGTTTCTGTATATATCACATATTCATATTCCGGTGTTAATAGAAAAGTAATTTTATATTTGAAGTCAAAATATCAAAATTTTGTTACATGCTAATGACATCCATTGCATTGTTTATAATGTGCCATACAGTTTGACATACACCAGACTGAGCCTCGTTATGAATTGTGATGTTATGACATACAGTTTGACATACACCAGACTGAGCCTCGTTATAAATTGTGATGATATTTGAAGATAAGTGCCATACTGTTTGACATATTGTAGCCAAAATTACGACAGACTCATAATAATGCTCTTACAAAAACGGATTAGGTTACTAATTGATTTCTTTCATTTAACTTTTCCTCTTGTATAGACATGCTAAACTGAGCTGTGTAGTCATCCATGGTTATATGAAAGGCAGCACATATACAATTGGTCAATCGGTCAAGGACAACAAGGACAGTTTATACGGTGAATGGAATGCGGTGCTGGTGGACAATGTCTGGAGACTCGTTAATGCCTACTGGGGCGCATGTGCCGTAGATGGCGATGGAAATCAACACGAGTCGGCTAGATTTTTCGTTGACGAGTCCTTCTTTCTTCCAGATCCTGAACAGTTGATTTACTCTCATTTTCCCGAAGAATCCAAATGGCAATTACTGGAAACAAGTCTCAGTATGAAACAGTTTGAAAAGAAAGCATACTTAAAAGAGCGCTTCTTCGAGCTCGAAATGAGGGCTCTTTCCCATCAGAAAGGTGAAATTGTGACAGACAATGGGGAAATTGAAATCTTATTTGGACTGCCACAGGAAAAGGCACACGAGTTTGAGTTCATGTGTTTGTTATTCTCCCAAGTCGACGGTAAATGGAAACATATTAAGGAAAAGACGAGTCAACACGACTTCGTATATTATCCAAACGACAGTTCGGTTGCAGTTCGTTGTCGTTTTCCAAAAATCGGTGTTTACAAACTCGAAATAGTAGGCAAGGATTCCAGGAGAAAAGATAAAGGATATGACTTTGATTGGGTGGCAATTTACAAAATAAAAGTAAATGGTAAACCAGATGGAAACATTTCCTTTCCGAAATGTTGTGCCGCAGGTTGGGGACCAGGTAAGACTCTGGAGGAGTCGTGCCTCGACGCTACCACGGATCCTAATGCCATCATTTTCTCTGAGGGAGGATATGTAGAGGTATCATTTGAGAAATTAAAACGGACAGCAGCTGGTCTTAATCTCTCGTACAAAATTGTGGGATTGAATAAAGCATTGGATGACATCCCAATGGAGGAAGAAGGTGTCAGAGAGGATGAGGAAGAATATACCATCGAGGTTAACGCGCCACCTGGCGAGGAAAGTGCACTCTGCATATTTGCATTGATAGATGATCCGTCGTACGGGACAATCACAAAGAACATTTGTAATTATCTAGTCATCAGCTCGGAGGTGGAAGAAGTCGACGATTCTCTTTTCAGAGATATAGAAGAGACCCGCAAACGTAAGTTATACTTGCAACTTTCTTAAAGCGGATAACATGTTAGTTTAAAAAAAGAAATCCTATATGTTCGATTCTGATCACTTTGTTGCCAGAAATCCTCTATAGTGTATATAGTATCACGTTTCCAATTGATTTACTACCAACGGAATCACTTCCTTGACTCAAACACCGCCAACACATTGAGCTCAAATATCCCGCGACAGCAGGATAATGCCTCTGGTTGACACTACGGATAAGATAAACTGAGCAATGTTTTTCCAGTTTAATTATAAATTCACTATCATAATTTTGTAAGCAATATCACACAGAGGAATAGGATCTTTCCCTAACTGGAGGTTAGGACAGAGAAATCTCTCCCCGAGGAGATTCTTGATTGTCTAACCGAGGGCTTTGCCAAGTTTAGACTGTCAGGAACCTCCTCTAAGGGGAGATATTTATATGGCCTACCCTCAAGGTAGGGAATGATCCTTTTTCTATCCCTCCTCCCCCCTAAATAAGCAAATAAGTACATATATGACATTATAACCGTTGGTTTAACCTTTGCATTTGAAGCCCTGATGAAAACTTTTCATAACATCAATGACCCCTACTGACCTCGACACGTCATAAAAATGACGTCATTAATAATTACGCGAACCCAAAATGTGACTTCTTGTGCGTGCAGGCTGTCTCACCTTGGTAAGATTAATAAAATCTTTCACCCCCTTTGGGGTGAGATAGGGGGATCTCAACCCGAGGGGAGATTATTAAGTTGTCAAACACGAGGCTTGATTATTTTTCTCTTACCCTGTTCCCCCCGCTTAGTGTAAAGACGAAATAGAATGTTTGTAAACAAAATTACGCGGAAAGCGTATGAATATGTAGTGGCGAGACTGTCGCAGCCGCGTCACGCATTATTGTGATATCCCGCACAAAATATAATTCCCATTAACGGTACAGTTAAACATAAAAAGGCATGATATTTATTATATACAACCAATTTTAATGTGAAAGTGTTGATCAGGTGGCTTCAATATATATACACAAAACCAACACAGATTATCAAATCGATATTTTGAAATGACGTCATTTATATGTCACGTAATCCATGTCCCAATGTGTTTCCACTTCCGGATCAAGATATTGACGTCACATAATTGTTAAGAACGTGCACAGTTCTCGTGTAGCTTGTCTCGCCCTAGGGTGAGATAAGGAAATCTCACACCGGTAAAACGTGTGGATATCCCTGTCTAGGGTAAGAGAAATAGATATCTTACACTTACCGGAAGTGGTATACTTCATGTGACTGTGTGTGACAGTATTTCTTTATGTGATATCGATTTGAGGGCGGATTGACTAAAACATAAAACGTTATTTTTGTTGATTTATGGTGAATTTTAATATAATCTAAAAATAAACTGAACAAGCACGTCCCATTCGAATGCATGTGCAGAAGTTGTAAAATGTGACATATACTTTTACCGACGACAAACTGTTTGATAAGATAAGGTGTAGAATTTGATGTTATGATACTATGGGTTAAAGTTTGTGTGAGCTTTTAAGTTTTTTTAGTTATGACATGGATTCAGGAGAGAAAGGACTCGCACGTGTATGATTACATCTCCATCTTATGTAAAATTGCGAGCAATGAAACGATAACAGCATTATACCGTCCTCATTCTTTTAACGCTAAAATAATTTTCTTATTTCTACAGAGCTGCAAGAAGCGATAGATGAAAAGAAACTTGAACCTCTGGAATCATCGGTTGATCTAGTAGAAACAAAAAAGTACGAACGCTATATGCCACAGGAAATGAGGATGGCGCGAGACCTGATAGCCAGGCTGCGGAAGATCCAACAACTTCTTCACGCAGTCATGGCACTGGAGCAGCCTACAATAGCGGAAATCCGGTCCTTCTCCAATCCACTTCCGGAAATACATAATGTGATGAAGGCAACTCTGTTGCTGTTGGGTAACTACGAGGATGAGACAAAGGTAAGAAAAAACGATGATGTTAAATAAGATTTCAAACTTCAGTTCTTTCATTATTGATTCAAATATCTCTTTTTTCCATTATAAGGACATAGGGCCTCATTTGAAAGGGACGAATTCATATCAGTCAAATACAAGCTGGATAACATACGCATGATGCACCGTGACCATAGTTTGATTCCAATCTGACCAAATGTGCGTCTTTCGTATTGTCCTTTACATACAATTTCATATTTTTAACTCACCAGAAACACCTTTAATCTTTTCCCGATTCCCTTCTTTTCAAAGCAATGGAAGAATATACAGGCCATCATTGGTCGAACAGGTAAAGAGTCTCTAAAACGGCGCATAAACGAATTCGACATCAACCAAATGGATTTGGACATTGCCCTCGGAGCTAAGAAGATGATTGGGAAGACCGACTTGGCGGACATCAGAGTGACCAGTCTGGGAGCTGCCACGTTCTACGTGTGGGTACGTCATCTTACTGAAATAATACTGTTGTAAAAGTTATACATTAACGTTAATGATGTTAGTGTACCACTGATGGTCACGTGTTGCCAATGAAGCTGAAAACACCTACTGGTTTGAACTTGCGGTGTTAACACCCTGGCTCTGTTGAAGGTAGCTTTGTAATCATTTCCTTTTTTTTCTTTCATATTTTGACCTTGTTGTTGTCGATTTAAAGTCAAACTTACGACATTTTTTTTTTATTTATTTCAATTCAATTCAATAGACCAGAGGGTCCAGTTACACAGTTACAGAATTGATAACAAATTTGTTTACGTCTTTATATTCTACAAACATATTGAACACTTGGATTTCCTTTTTGTTTTACAACAAATTTATTTACGTTTCTATATTCTACAAACATATTGAACACTTGGATTTCTTTTTGTTATACAACAAATTTATTTACGTCTCTATATTCTACAAACATATTGAACACTTGGATTTCCTTTCGTTTTTTCAATGGTTTTTGTGTCGGTTATTCCTTTGTTGATAATCAGGATTTGTTTCTCAGGTGATGGGACTGGTGGAGGAGATGGAGATACGGTACATAGATAAACTCAAGACCACTGTTCCTCGAACACGGAAGAAGAGCACGTCCTAGACACTTCCCAATGATAGAGCCGACACATGACTTTACCTTTATTAGGCCAGGTTGCATCATCGAACAGTCAATACTTGGCCAGAAATACGACGGAGTCGGATCCAGATGTTGTTTTTGTTACGTTCAATGGACAGAAATATGCGTTAACGTTAGTAACAAATACTGAGAATTACACGTGTTTTTCGGTTGAAAAATTGTTAAACAGGATATGTACAAAATTGGCGTTGTACATTCTGACACTACCAATGCTGTAATAGTAGACACTATAAGAAATCCTGCCATGGCTGATATAATAGTAATCACGTAAATGAGACACGTAGCAAGCAAACGTCATGGTCAAGTAGCGACGTGTTGTCTGACTGGTCAAGCAGCGACGTGTTGTCTGACTGGTCAAGCAGTGACGTGTTGTCTGACTAGTCAAGCAGCGACGTGTTGTCTGACTGGTCAAGCAATGACGTGTTGTCTGACTGGTCAAGCACGACGTGTTGTCTGACTGGTCAAGCAGCGACGTGTTGTCTGACTGGTCCAGCACGACGTGTTGTCTGACTGGTCAAGCAGCGACGTGTTGTCTGACTGGTCCAGCACGACGTGTTGTCTGACTGGTCAAGCAGCGACGTGTTGTCTGATTGGTCATGCGTGACGTGTTGTCTGACTGGTCAAGCAGCGACGTGTTGTCTGACTGGTCAAGCAGTGGCGTGTTGTCTTACTGGTCCAGCAGTGACGTGTCGTCAGACTGGTCAAGCAGCGAAGTGTTGTCTGACTGGTCTATCAGTGATGTGTTGTCTGACTGGTCAAGCAGTGACGTGTTGTCTGACTGGTCAAGCAGTGATGTGTCGTCTGACTGGTCAAGCAGTGATGTGTCGTCTGACTGGTCAAGCAGTGACTTGTTGTCTGACTGGTCAAGCAGTGACTTGTTGTCTGACTGGTCAAGCACGACGTGTTGTTTTACTTGTCAAGCAGTGACGTGTTGTCTGACTGGTCTATCAGTGATGTGTTGTCTGACTGGTCAAGCAGTGACTTGTTGTTTGACTGGTCAAGCAGTGACGTGTTGTCTGACTGGTCAAGCAGTGACTTGTTGTCTGACTGGTCAAGCAGTGACGTGTTGTCTGACTGGTCAAGCAGTGACGTGTCGTCTGACTGGTCAAGCAGTAACGTGTTGTCTGACTGGTCAAGCAGTGACGTGTTGTCTGACTGGTCTATCAGTGACTTGTTGTCTGACTGGTCTATCAGTGATGTGTTGTCTGGTCAAGCAGTGACGTGTTCTTATGGCCGTGTTCATATAATAGTTCTTATTAGAAAATTGCATTTACGTCTAGACTGTGTATCTGTTTACGATGTTATGTATGTCTTATTACCGACAAATTGTTACCGGTGATGATGATAATAGTATGAAACGTCACGGAAACATAAGACTAGGGAAAATTTAACTGGCTGAGTTAGTCTTTATCCAGTTTGCGCTTCATGCCCAGGAATGCCAACGTTAATGAAATCAATGCTTACATTTTTCATTTTCAATTTGCGTCTCGTTTTAAGTAGATAGTAGATAGCTACTAATGACTATTAACATTATACCGTAGTGATATCATGTAATTAACACTTACCATTAGTCTTAATGCCATTTAATACAGTACCTGTGATATACACCTTGACACGTCAGCATTTCCTATCAATACACTCGCTATACTTTTTTATGTGTGTAACTCATGGACACATACTTGTATTTAAAACAAACTTTAATTAAATTATTTAATTACACTAGTTTATACATATTATCTATATAAAGCCCCTAGTTGAATCATTCCGCACATGTTCATTGGTTATGTACTTTTGTGTTAATTAGTTTATTTAAAAGCCTACCTGTGATAAAAATGTAAGATTTTACATTAAAGCATATGCCTTATCTTGACCGTTAGTGCCTTTACACGGGGTACGTTTGTATCTGATTTCATCCGTCCATCATCATAGATTTTATAGTAACTACAGAATTCTATAATATGACCAATTACTCCATAGATAGAAATGCTAATGATATCTTTTAATTCGCCCTTAAATACATGTCTGTATTCATTTTGACTCTTACACCCGGTTTTATAGACCCAGTAGTTTTGGTTTAAGGTCACAACGGGTAAAAGCCTCCCCCCACCCATATGTGTTTGTTGTTAAGTTGTTTACATAGACATACATTAACCACAGTATCCGCACTTATTTATAAATTCATATCGTCTCATAATACGTCGTTTGTCATTACACTCATATTTGTTTTGTTTAATATTATTAAGATGTCTCACTTTATTTAACTTGGTTTAAGTTACTACTTCAGCTACCTTCCTTAGAGATAGGGGTTGGGGGAGGGGATGATTATCTAAATAGCGTTCAACCTAAATACTAAATTTGACTAAAATATCATGCCCATGATAATAGAATTTACCATCTTATCCTTTGTCATTAAAACTGATACTGTGTGCATTTTTTTCTTGTCGAGATTTTCCTGTTATGAGTATTTCTAGAAATAATCACCCTGAAGTTGATTTACTCACACGGAATGATTCGATTACTCACTCAGGATATCTCGATTACTTACTCGGATATCTCGATTATTTACTCGGGATATCTAGAATACTCACTCAGGATATCTCGATTACTTACTCGGATATCTCGATTACTCACTCGGGATATCTAGAATACTCACTCAGGATATCTCGATTACTTACTCGGATATCTTGATTACTCACTCGGGGTATCTAGATTACTCACTCAGGATATCTCGATTACTTACTCGGATATCTCGAGTACTAACTCGGGATGCTTTTTTCATCTCCATATTTACAGGTCATTTGTCCACCTATCATCTATAGTAGAGGTTTTACAAATGCATGTCTGCCAAGTATCCATATCGTTGCATTGAGTGCTTTCAGAGTCACTTATCTAGGAAAACCGTGTCCAGATAGATGCAGCTATACAATATTGTTACATGTTATTACTATACTCTATCGTTGGTTATTTATTTTTTTCATGTACTATTTATCCGTTACGAATAAGTAAGAAATATAAGTTAAATGTTAGTGTATAAATAAGTGTTAGAAGTTAGAGGGTAAGGTTTGACATGTTTACATCATTCGGTTACAGTAATAATGTTGTAGCCTTTTTATAAGATAAACAAGTGTCGATATCTTCCATAACCGAACATACAGGTCGCTTAGATCCCGCTGTAATGTAGCTGTTTGTGTAGTTGAATTAAAGATTACAATATGTTAAACGTTCGTTTGATTTCTACTTTTGATTTAGATATATTTACTGTAGCGTGAACTACGGTGGTTAGATATTAACATCCCGGATATCACTAATGTATAATCCCTACAAGAGTTTTATATCTGTCTGACGTCATCACAAAAAACTCAATCACCTTGTTATGTCCTTTCTCCATATTTTCGCTCCTCTTCTTCAGGATTCGTCAGATTTCTTCCTTGAAACTTTTTACAAATAACATGTTACTGCCTTAATATTAATATTTACCTAAACATACACTTCTTACTTGTTTCACTACTAAAGTGCATATACCACGCGGTATTACAGGTAAAACAGAACACACCTCTTTGGGAATGTACCATACCGCATTACAGGTGTAATAGACCACACTTCTTTGGGAATACAGGAGTACCAGACCACACTTCTTTGGGAATACAGGTGTAACAGACCACACTTCTTTGGGAATACAGGTGTAACAGACCACACATCTTTGGAAATATACCATACCGTATTACAGGTGTAACAGCCCATACATCTTTGGGATTACAGGTGCAACAGACCACACATCTTTGAGAATGAACAATATCCGTATTACAGGTGCAACAAACCACACATCTTTGGAAATGTACCATACCGTATTACAAGTGTAACAGACCACACATCTTTGGAAATGTACCATACCGTATTACAGGTGTAACAGCCCATACATCTTTGGGATTACAGGTGCAACAAACCACACATCTTTGGAAATGTACCATACCGTATTACAGGTGTAACAGACCACAATTCTTTGGGGATACAGGAGTAACAGACCACACTTCTTTGGGAATACAGGCGTAACAGACCACACATCTTTGGGAATGTACTATACTGTATTACAGGTGTAACAGACCACACATCTTTGGAAATGTACCATACCTTATTACAGGTGTAACAGACCTCACTTCTTTGGGAATACAGGAGTAACAGACCACACTTCTTTGGGAATACAGGTGTAACAGACTACACGTCTTTGGGAATACAGGTGTAACAGACCACACTTCTTTGGGAATACAGGTGTAACAGACCACACATCTTTGGAAATGTACTATACCGTATTACAGGTGTAACAGACCACACATCTTTGGAAATGTACCATACCGTATTACAAGTGTAACAGACCACACATCTTTGGAAATGTACCATACCGTATTACAGGTGTAACAGCCCATACATCTTTGGGATTACAGGTGCAACAAACCACACATCTTTGGAAATGTACCATACCGTATTACAGGTGTAACAGACCACACTTCTTTGGGAATACAGGAGTAACAGACCACACTTCTTTGGGAATACAGGCGTAACAGACCACACATCTTTGGGAATGTACTATACTGTATTACAGGTGTAACAGACCACACATCTTTGGAAATGTACCATACCGTATTACAGGTGTAACAGACCACACTTCTTTGGGAATACAGGAGTAACAGACCACACTTCTTTGGGAATACAGGTGTAACAGACCACACTTCTTTGGGAATACAGGTGTAACAGACCACACTTCTTTGGGAATACAGGTGTAACAGACCACACATCTTTGGAAATGTACTATACCGTATTACAGGTGTAACAGACCATACATCTTTGGAAATGTACCATACCGTATCACAGGTGTAACAGACCATACATCTTTGGAAATGTACCATACCGTATTACAGGTGTAACAGACCATATATCTTTGGAAATGTACCATACCGTGTTACAGGTGT